TGAAGGAACAAGATAGTTCTAGAAACGTGGCATCACACTAATCATGTGACCTCGCTGACGCAACAGAAATATACTGGTGCTAATTAAGGTGATGTATTAAAAGGATAGAGAGGTTCCACTTGGGAATGGGTTGCCTTAAGATGTAGTAGAAGCTATAAATTTAAAGGTGTATATGAAAAGGGTTGATAAATATTTCGATAATAAGAACTGGCTTTGGGTTTTTTTATTTAATAGTTTATTTTAGTGTATGGGACAGCATAGATAATCCTTAAATGTTATGTTTAATTTTTGAATCAATAAACACAAACTCAATATTTAAGTATCTCTATTTGCAAATGATAAAGAAAATATTAAGAAATTAAAAAACATGTCAGAATTTGAAATATTTTTTTTTCCAATTGTCAAAATAAAATGCTTTTACTAATGTTTCTTAATATTATAAATATATACCGTGTTGTTGTTGGGCTTAGAATTCTTCTACAGTAGGTGTCTGTGACTTGATAGTGATAAATTCAATGATAAATGAACAGCAAGCACTTCACTTGTTTTCAAAATAACATACATATATATATATTTGGAACAAGTTAAACGTATGTACAACAAATTCTTCACAATACAGAGATTATATAGTTCTCTTCTTGTTGTCAAAAGTTCACTTAGGCCTATTCAATTATTTTAGAATTTCAGTTGACAAGTCAAACTATCTTCTCTATTACTATTGCACTAGTATTGTGTGTGTGTGATTCACTTACAATTGTGGTACACGTTACGATAATCGTTTGGTCTTCTTTCTTCAAAATATCCTCTATTCCTTTTGTCAATATGCACTCAGGCTAATTCAATTACTTTAGAACCATGCTTTGATAGAATAATTCTTCTTCTTATCTCCTTTTCTACTGTTAGTCTTACTCTAATATATTAAACGTTAGGCCTATGTTAATTGTTAGACCTATCACTTCTACGATAGTTAACTTCATGCCGAACTTTTCCTTGCCCGTAACTTTAACCTTTTCTGCTATTGTCTGTTGTTTCCGCTCATCTCACACTATTTATATGCTTATCATTTAAATATCTGCCCACCTTCTAGAAATCTCTATATTCTCAATATCATTGTATTGCACACGACATTCAATAGGCTCATTATCAATGAATTTTAAACACAACTTCCTACAATCGTCTGCTTTTAACTTTTATTATAACAAAAACTAAACAATAATAAAATATTCACTCACAAAATAAATTAATGAATAATATCTAACCTAAACAGTATTTTATATTTTATGACGAAATAAA